GGGTATTGTAGGTAATAAAATATAGGGCTTGAAACGTTTGGACTGAATTCTGTGGTGTAGCAGCCCAGCGCTTCGCCCTCACACTCAGAAGTCATGAATCAAAACATCGTAGTGGGGGGGAGGGGGGGGTTAAAAAATTATAAATCACCCTTTTCTGTATAAAAAAACATTGTCTCCTTCTCAGCTGGTGGGTTAGCTAGCCTTGACAGACATGGACGAAGCAGCCTGTCTCCTAAACGATCTAAAGTTTATCGAGGGAGATATAAAACGTTAGAATTACATATATATAAAGGCTTTGAGTAGAGTAGCATGCAGCCTCCAATCGAAGATTCACACAACTTCATAAGTGTCACAGGAAATCCAGTGACGGACGGCCAGATCCTTTTTTCAGCACCCGCTCAGACGTACAGAGTTGCAGCTTGTTAGATGCATTGCGCTGTCCTTCACATATTTATTTGTGTTTTGAATATGATATCTTTGAATCCCTTTTCTCAGCCATGTACGTATTTTGTTTTCGTTTCCACTTTCATTCCAATCAGCGTTGACTTTTACTCTTGTACAGTTGTCGTTTCTGGGGCACAAGTTTTTCAAATTTTAAAAATTGGTTGGGAAGTTAGTCAAATGCGCTGTGTTTGTTTCTGTACTTTTATCAACCTGTAAGTTTTTTTGTTTTGTTTTTATTTTTGAACTTATGCTGTTGTGGATTGTGTTTGCAAACCAAGCATGTCATGTTCCAAAGACTGCCTATAGCGGTTAGGTACTTCACCGTCGCACGCAGAACACCTTAGGTCTGTTTCCTGAATGGGGAGAAGTTTTATGGAGTATCTGGGTCTTTCTAATAATAACAGATAGCATTTGTATCACGTAAATCCCCTCTCAACAGCAGGCTGTATACGCTTCACAATCTATACTATTACCTCAGCAGACCTGAGAGCATTCTGAAACAACTTCAACTTCCTGGGAAGCATATAGGGCAAGCGGTCATTTATTGGCATTAAAACACTAACATGCTGACAAGATCTTTCACTGTCTATAGCCGGGTACCCATTCTCACCTGGGTGAAGTGAGGAAAATTCATGTAAAATGCCTTTCCCAAGGACACAACATCGGGCCCGCAGCTAGAACTTCTGAACCCACAACCTCACGATTATGAGCCCGGTAGCCTAACCACTAGGGATGTGGCTTCCCTCTCAGCCCAGGTTGGCTCTGAAAGGCATGGTCAAAGCGAGTTCTTAAAAGATCTAAATCATGTTGGTGGGGGCTTGAAAACATGCAGTCTTACTTAAACTTGGAGACTCTCACGTCCTGAGAGGCATGAGGCAACCAAAGACATCCAAGAAGATCTATCTGTAGTGAAGGCGGGGACATCACTCCATTTCTTATTTGCTAGATTCATGTCTTTCACTACTGTCTGTTTCCAGTTCATCTTTCGTTGTCTTCTGCCTCTTTTCACCCACGTACATATTTTTTTAAAAAAATGATCAAATAAAATACTGGACGGCTATTGGACAATGCTGGTTTGAGCCTTCGAGGGGCTTTTCCTGGACGTAGTTTTTTAGGAGTTATCTGGACTTTCTGTGGTCTGCCCGTTGTTTTTTTTTCACTCGTTTGTAGTCACCGTGTTTGCATTTTTCATCACGAACTGTTTGTTCTGTGTGAGAAAGACACGGCTATCCTCCTTGCATGAATTTTTTTGTTGTTTTTTTCAAAGTTTAATAACACAGTTGTCTCCCTTAGAGGACATCTGTTGTTATTGCGCAAAACTTTCTGTCACCTTAGTACATGTATAATCTGTATAATCTCATTTCCTTCCTCCCTTGGTTTCTATGGTAACTTTGTCTATAGCCAATCCTTTAGCGAACACCTGTTGTTGTCTTTTTTTCGAAGTGTCCACATTGGCATGCGCTGTGTGTACCAACGACTTGGTAGTATTTCGTGTTGTCACGTTTACGATGTACATATGTACGTATGTACTTGTATGCCATGTGAGAGAGTGCTCTGTGGTGGAGGGGAGTGCAGGATAGTCGGTTTATATATTTTATATATAAATTTTTATACATTATATTTATATATTACTGCCAAAATCTGGGATGATTTAGTATTATTTTGAATAGTTTATTACTTTGTGTATTATAGGAAGAGATGTAAGCCTAAGACATTTTGCTGTTATTGTTTTATAAAAAGGTATGCTGTAGAGTGTTTTCCTACTGATATTCGTGTGAGGAGGCAGTGAAACCAGGCGCTCGTCAACTTTTGGGCATGTGGAGTTATTGGTATCATCTTATATCTTGTTTTTTTGTCTGTCTTTTGGTGAAAAAAGTATAAATCTATGTTGACTAGAAGTCTTGATAGTTGTGATTGAAGGAGGTGGGAGTCGTCTGGTGTCAGGTAAAGTTAGCGAGAAAATGGCCGCCTAAGTTTGGTGGCTTTCATAGTGTGAGAATCCTTGGAAACTGAAAATTTACATTTTTTGTGCCTTTAATCAGCGTTTTAAAGTAAATTCCGCGCAGAAATGTGTATTTAAATTAACATAAATATGCCTGTTTCTTCGATTTCATTATTTTTATGAATGCCTGATTTCACCATGATGCCTCACATGTTATATTTTGCGCCAAATGCCTGAAAACATAGGACGGGTCTTTGCTCTTCACTTTG